TGTCACTGAAACCATATGTGTGCATAAAAGCAAACGTGGTTGTCTTATCTGTGGTTCTAAATTCAGATCTTCCACTGCAGACTCGTCTGACAACCGTGACAGTGTCATAGCCCAACATGAGATAGACCACAACTATGGCTCCAAATGGAGAAGGTCAAGGAAAGTAAGGTTGGTGGTCAATGTGGTCCAACTCTCCCAGCCACATGACGCAGCATCCACTCCCTGGTGTGAACCCGGAGCAGCTAGGGAAGCCAAAGGAGGCTCCCACCCCCTGGAGCTCTTCATTCCTTTGTGCTATCTTCTCATGCCTCCTCCATCTTTGCAAGTCGCCCACTCCTCATGGCCACTCTTTCACGAGACTTACTAAACATTGAATGAGAATGTTTTTAGCATGTTTATGGGTCCAGGTTTCCTTTACTGTGACCTAATGTACACATTTTTAAAGCCTATAAAATTTTGTTAACATTAATTGTATTATTGGAAGAGAAAAATCATAATCTTTTGTTTCCAATGAGCTCCTATTTGTATGCCTGTGTTTGCATAGTTGCAATCATTATAAATGCTAGTTTAACATCGCTTGAATTTTCTTCCTAATCTCTTCATAGACGTCGTGTTTCTACTTTGAGTAAGTATACATTAAACAAGTCTCTCATAGCTTATTGTTATATAGATAAAATCAATAGGGAAAATATTCATGAGTATCATCTAAAACACTTCCCTTTAGTACTGGAAGTAGGATTGCTGAATAAAACCATGTAATCATCTTTATAACTCCTGATAAATATTGACCTATACCCCACATAAAGAAAATCAAACTTCCCGCCTTCAAATCATCGTTGCCTCATAGTGACAGCTAGAGTAAAATTGCCCCCAGGGCTTCCCAGGCTGTGCATCTTTACAGAAACAGAATGCTACGGCTGACTCCTACTGGGTGGTGGCGGCTGAACGCAGACCTTTTGGTTAGCAGCTGGGTGCTGAACTTATTGTTCCCTCCTCCTAATTGCTACATCGGCTTCCCACAGGTAGATTCCATTTACAGTAACTCCAGCAGGGGTTGAATGGATTCGTTTCAAGGCAATCTTTCTAGTTCTCGGGTTTTTGTTGTTCTTTTCTTTTGTATTACTTTTAAAATATATTGTTTTTGTAAAACATGCTGTTGACATTGATATGCCAATTCCTAGCAAACTGCCCCAGGAAATTTCCTAGGCTGTAAATCCTTATGGAAGCAGATTGTCACAGCTTTCTTTTGTGGAGCAGCTGGGGGATTTGAACTTCCGACTATTTGATTACCATCCAAGCATTTTAACCATTGTACCATCCGGGTTCTTTTTAAAAACATAAGCATCTACAAAATGCATTTGTCAATTATCTGCATAGCTAAAGAATTTTTATTGCTATTGGTAATTGGAAATAGATTCCTATATTCCAAGTAAATGATCGGTTAACTCCTGAGAGAATTTTGTGTTAACGGGCATTTAAACTCCCAGGATATCTTTTCAGTTTGTCTCCATCTGGCTGTACCAGCAGTCCTTAAACTCTGACCGCATCTTCCTGCTCAAACGTCTCCTTTCAGTCCTCCTGGATCTGGCTCAGCGTCCCTGGCTTCCCTCCTGCCAGCAGCCCCTCTGCCACAGTCCCCTTCCAGTCTTACAGCCTGACAGCCAGCACGCGGTCAGAATGTTATTGGCCATCCAATGTGCAAATACATGTAACTGAGGGTCATCATAGACTTGTTTCTATGCACTTGTGTCATTCTCAACCAAGTCTTACTAACTCAGTAAGTAAGTCCCTGAGCTATGCATGTTCGACTTAGAGACAGCTCACACTTGTCCTTTAATATTATGTAAATTTGCATTCACTAGGAAATGATGGAATTAACTCCTGCTCACCACAGATTCTTCATCGTAATCATCGTCACTTGCTGCACATGCCACTTTTAGATCTTCAAAAAGGCATCGAGCCTTTTCTGGAACTAATGCAAGGCTCAATAAGCTCTATATGTACCTGTTCCGACTTACCAACAAATCTCACTTAAAGTTATTGGTAAACGTGGATCTAATTCATACCAGGGGCCTGCCTGTATCTTCTCAGTTGCTGGTGTTTGGTCCCATTGAATCCGTTCTGACCCAGATTGACCTGTGTACAGCAGAACAAAGCAGTGCCCAGTCCTGCACGGTCCTCACAGGCACTGGCAGGTTTGAGCCTATAATTGCATCCATGGTGTCCATCCAGCTCATTGAGGATCTTTGTCTTTCTTCATTTTCCCTTGACTTGACCAGGCATTGGTTTCTCCTGGTAGCCTTTCCAAAGCACAAGTTTTATCATCTTCTCTTCTAATGAGAAATCTCCTCAATAGCACCCCTAGCTCAAGAGGTGTCCTTTTAACTTTCGACACCACTCAAGGTAAAGCCAAACACCAAACTCACTGCCACTGAGTTGATGCCAATTCAACAACAACTTTGTAGGACAGAATAGAATTGCCCCTGTGAGTTTCCATGACTGTGAGTCTTTACAGGAATATACAGTGGCTGGGAGCTTTTGAAATGCTGACCTTCTGATGAGCAGCCCCACTCGTCACCACTATGCCACCGGGGCTCAAGGTTCACCCTCATTATCTCTTGCCAGGTCTCCTCCTTTTCAATCTATGCTCCACATTTTTGCCAGCGTGGTCATTCCAAAGCCTTAGTCTTCTCATTTCATTTCCCTATGGAGAATCGCTGCTACATTGATATAATATAGCCTACAGGATTTATTTAAAATCTCTCATTGTCATGAAGAAGATTCTTCAAGAACTAATG